CGAGCAGACCTAACCCGAGCAGACCTAACCCGAGCAGACCTAACCCGAGCAGACCTAACCCGAGCAGACCTAACCCAAGCAGACCTAACCCTTACCCTAAATCCGCACTTAAGGCATATAGTGCTCAGTTCCTCGCTTACGATCTGGCAGAAGGTGAAGGCCACATCTACGTAGACCTGCAACGAGTTCAGGCGGAAGACCAGATACCACTTCTCCAATGTTCTCTCTGCCTTGGATACGGGCATAGTCGCAAGCTGCTCACAGAATCGTTAGAAAAATGCAGTGACTGTGGGAATCCGCACGTAAAGACCGAATGTGAGTACTGGCTCGCTGGATCCACACCGCAGTGCTGCAACTCCACACATACCAAACTCGAGAGGACGGATCACAACGCATTCAGCACTGAAGACTCGGTTAGAAGAAAGTGGGATAAAATAGAGAACAGCAATAGGATATCGCTAAGGTGATTCCAAGAAATATTCCTGCGTCAAAAATAATGAAAGACCATATTCGAGTAGCCCAAGCAAATTTGCGAAGAAAGAAACTGGCGACCACCGAACTCTTCATAAAGGCCAGTAAACGTAAAATCTCTTGTCTGTCTTTGACGGACTTGGATGTCATTCCATATTCCAAACTCACCGCCAACAACATCGTCGTGGTGGGGATCCAAACCAAAACCTGGGAAATCGCAGTAGTCTCTTACTACTTCGAACCAGACCAACCCTTAGGGCAGTACCTGGATCAGTTTCCCAGGAGTAAAAGTGAAGTGGCCACCAGAAGATTGCTGATAGGGTGCGACGCAACCGCGAAGAGCACTTGGTGAGGCAGTACGATTGAGGACTCCAGTGGAGAAGAAATGTCTGGGACCCTGGATGAGTTGGAGCTTCAGGTATTCAACGTAGGCGATACACCTACGTTTGATACCGTGAAAGGTGGCAAAGCGTTAAAAAGCCAAATAGATGTCACGGCATGTTCGCCAGACCTGTTTGACCTGGTTGACGGCTGGCGGGTTGACACAAGGGTAACAAGCTAGCACTACAATACAAAATTGTTCAATATATAACTACACGAGAAAAGGACACACATAACCAGAATTCCAGGAAATTCAATACAAAAAAGGCAGACTGGGAAAAAATTTAAGAAACACTGAAAGATCTCAAAATTAAATACAAGATAGATGCACAAAATATAGTAACCATAGTGAATAAGAAGAAATTAGAAGAACTAGTTGTAAAGTACAGTGATATAATTGGGAAAGCGTGCGAAGGCACTATCCCAAAAATAATTAACAAAACAAAACTTACCGTCCCGTGGTGGTCTAAAGAGTTAGCTGTACTGAAGAAAGCCGTCACCAGGAAGAAGAACTGCATCCGCAACGCCGCGCGGGTCCGGAGAGCGATGGTCGCAGACGAGTACCTGAAAGCAAAAGAACTGTATGAGAGTACAGCCAAACGAGCCCAAACCACCAGCTGGAAAGAATTCTGTAAGAAACAGGATCGCGAAGGAGTATGGGAGGGAAGGGATATACCGAGTATTTATTTATTTATTTATGTATTTACTAGCTGTTGCCCGCGACTACGTCCGCGTAGATTAATGACTTCTGACAGAATTCATCAGAATCAATTCAGTGCCCAATTAAGATTTACCTATTGTGAAATGATTTATCGTAATTTCAATAAATTAAAAATCCCGCAGGGTTCTTACCAGTCCCGGCCCGATCACGTAAGTTTTGAGTAATAAAAACTTCGACTATTGTTGTACAGAATCTCTATGAAATAAGTTCAGTGGTTAAAAGATAGAGAGTCCTGGAGCATTGACGCATAGTTCCCGTTCCCGAGGGACTTCTGTGATAAAAACTATCATACGTTACTCAGGTCCCAAATCATCGTTTTACCGAATGTAATTCAAAAAGATTCAATGATTCTAGATTCAATTTTCATTCCCAATTTCACACCAACTATCATTCCCTATTTTATCCCCTTAGGGGTGGAATTCATCAAAATCCTTTCTAAGGAGATACCTATGTCATAGTAACTTTATGCATGCAAAGTCTCAGCCCGATCGGTTTAAAACTGGCAAAGTATCACACAAACTTTCACCCTCTATATTACCCACTTTGGGGTGGAAATGTTCAAAAACCTTTCTAAAGGGACGTGTACGTCATAATATCTACCTGCACGCCGAATTTCAACCCGATCTGTGTAAAACTGACAAAGCCTCATACAAACTTTCATCCCCTACATTATCCCATTGGAGTTGGAAATGATCAAAATCCTTACTTGGAGATGCCTACGTCATAA